TTCTCAGGGAGCGCCTCCCTGAAGTGCTAGCACCTCCAGAAGTCCTCCTCCAGCCCCTCAATGCGGTCGCTTCTAACCCCCTTTCCTACACATTGCTTCAAGGGCAGCGACCTGGGCTTTGGGGGTGGAGGGGCTCTAGCCCTAGATTCTCAAGCTGGGTCCAGACCCTCTCAGGAAAGACTGCGTGTGTGTGTGTGTGTGTGTGTGTGTGTGTGTGTGTGTGTGTGTGTTTGGTGCCAGTTTGGATGCTGGGTGCAAAGTGAGGTGTTTGTGTGTAGCAGTTTGTGTAGGAGGGCGAGGAGTTCTCCTAGGGGATTGATGCTACCCACAGATCTTTGTTTCAGCGGTGAGAACATCGCTTTCTTAGTGGTGACCGGCCAAACACATATTACCCTGAACTCCCAAAGCCAGCTCAACGCTAGCTTGTGGACTGAGATAAACAAAAAAGCAAATCCTTCTCCCGGTGAGCTTTACACCTAGCAAGGTAATGAAGTTCAACGGTGTGCTTTCTGCCTGGAGGAAGAAGAGGAGTAGGTGTCAGAAAGACACTGCCACGCTGAGCCTGAGCTGGAAGAGGGAGCCCCAGAGGAGGGCGGTTGAGGCCTCCGGGCTGCAGGGGAAGGAGAGCCAGGAGAGTAGAGGAAGGCAGTAGAGGAGGAAAGGAGAGGGAAAAGGGGTCCTGATCAAGGTTGGGGGGGGTCCTGATCTAGCTCTCTCCCTACGTCCTGTTTCCATGTGTAGATTCTGCCAGCCCCCCTAGCTCTGGCATTCCATCTGGGATCAAATAACCCTTCCTGAGCATTACTCTTGGCCAGGTGTTGGATTTTTGCCTTCATCATCTCCTTTCTTCTTAATTATCTCACAGTACCCGCCCAGGATCTAGGAGTCTCCCAGCGGGAGTCCCTATGAAAGGCGAAAGGTGAAAGGCCTGAAAGGTGTCTCATGTCTCCTGGGAAGGGCCAGGGCTGCCTCTTTTGGGGTGGGGAGACGTGGCCAGGAAATGAATTGAGGAAACAGGGTAAGGAAAGGAACTAACCAAATGCTCTGCCTGTCCCACAGATCACCTCAGCTTGCTTTTTCTTCCTCTTCTTTCCCACACCTGCTGCAGAATGGACCTTAGGGTCTTTGTTGTTTGGCCAAACGCCAGATAGGCAGCCACACAGGCCAAAGGAGCCAGTAGAGAATGGAAATCCTGCTGCTTTCTCTCTTATTCTTCCCTGGTCACCCCAGGTCATGGGACTGGGCAGCTAACACAAGCTTCTTCCTTCCCAAGAAAAGCTGGGGCAGTTCATAAACTTTGCTACTCAGTCAACCTGTGGCTCTGACGATGTCCCGTGAATTTTTCTCTAGCTTTTGCCCTCCTCCCTCCTCCTCCTTCCATGAAGGAGTCCCCTTTATTGCTGGTATGCTTGTCTGAACTTCAGTGAGATCTTTTAGGTCTTAGCCTCAAAATGTCCTTCCTTAAGCCCCACAACAACTTTGAGATGTGAGGTCATGAAGGGCACAGGCAGTGTTGAACAGCCTTCTAGTCCCTACTGCAGTTGCACCGTTAGATGCAAGCAAGGGGCTGCATCTCATCTCAAGCATAGTTGGGCTCCCTTTCATAGCAAAGGGGCATTTCTGATTTTTAAAGGTAGATTGGTCCCAGAGAAATATGTGTGTTTTTTTTTTTCAGTCAGTCATTCAACTGACAGTTACCAATTAGGTCGATATTTGGTGTTAGTAGAATCCCACATGACAGCTAGGCAAGACCTTAGAAATCGTTTGTTTTACAGATGAAGACGATCCTCAACCAGGGGAAATGCTCAAGGAACCAAAATTAAAAACAGAACGCAGGGGTTCTCAGCCCCCCAACTTTCCACAGAGCCTACTGCAGTTTAATATGAATTGAAGAAGAACAGTCTACTGAAATTAAAATAGAAATGATGGTGTTTTATACACATGTGTTCTTTTCAATTTTAAGTAAAATATCAAATGTTAGTTTTAGTTTTCAAATACATTAAGTTGTGATATTGACGATGCTGTTAGTACTACTCGAGGGCAGAGATTATTTTGCTGGAAATTTCAGAAGGAAGACGAAGGTAAAGAGGAGAGGGGAGAGGGGAGGGGAGAAGAGAAGAGGTGGGGGTTTGGGGCTCTTGAAATTCTTAACAGTTCTAGAATGAAGGCGGCAAGCTAGCTGAGCAGAGACACATGGGGCATTTGTGGCTGGTCTTCATTCTATGGCCAGCTCCCTACAAGGGCTGCCTGACTCTTCCACCGCTGTCTCCTGCCTGAGTCTGAGCTGAGAGTACACAGCTACTTTCGGAAAGAGTCACTGGGAAGAAACCAGCCTCAACCCGATAGACACTTTTCACTAAGTTTCCTTGGGCCCCGCGTCTGGGGAAGGACTGCCGCAGCACCGCGCTAAGAATAGGCTTCTAAGGCGGTGGAAAGGTTCAGCTTGCACTGGGAGCCCAGAGGCTAGGGCGGTCGCTAAAATAAGGAGAATGCTCCCGTTCCTCTCTTCAGCGAGGGAGGCTGCGGGCTCCAGGGGCTCAGCCTCATTAGCTTCTGTGGGAAGAGAGTTTAGCTCAGGTCTCCCAAGCCTCCACCGGACGCCCAGAGGGCCAGCGGGCAAAGAGTCCACCTCTGTCCCCGGCGGGTTGAGAGGCCCGCGGGGCTGCGAGGGGGTGCTGCTTGCCCTCCAGCCCCCTCCTCGGACCCCGCGCCCCGGCCGGCAA